AACACTCTTGGTACCAGTAACCAGAAAATCAAAAGATAAATTACATTGAGAATGTCTGCTGTCAGGGACCTCTCCAGAGTACTGAAGAGCAATGATGTCAGTTTGGAGACTAAGGTCTGCCTGATCCAAGCCATGGTCTCCATAATTACTTGCTATGCATCAGAGAGCTGGACTATGAACAAGCATGATAGAAGAAGAGCTGATGCCTTTTAATTGTGGTTCTGGAGAAGAGTATTAAACATACCATGGACTGCCAAGAGAACAAATAGATCTGTCCTGGAGAGAGTGAAACCATACTGCTCCTTGGAGGCAAGGATTTTGAAGCTCCATTTCACATACTTTGGGCATGTGGTCAAAAGGAACCAGTCCTTGAAAAAGGACATCATACTTGGAAGGGTGGAGAGACAGTGCAGGAGAAGAAGACCCCAGATGAGATGGATTGACTCAGTGACTGGGGTAATGGGATTAGGTGTGTCAGAGTCAGTGAGACTGTCTCAGGATAGGGCAGGTCTCAGAGCTGTTGTACACTGTGGATCACTATGAGTTACAGGTGATTTGTTGGCACATAACAACAACATTGGTCACGGCAGCTATTATTTAGCGTATCTTAGCTGCCATAAATTGGGAGAAAAACCCCAACCAAAAACCAAAACACTCAAACACACCTAAAACTGTTGCTTTATAGTTGGTCTGACTCACAGTGTTAGGGAGTAGACCTGCTCTATCGGGGTTCCTTGGTTGTTATCATAACTGACACAGGTCAACAGCCTTTTTGTTTCCTGCTACTGCTGGATAGGTTTGAACCACTAACCTTTACATTAGGAGTTAAGGGCAAAACACTTGCATCACCTAGGGATCTTGCTGTAATGAATAAGGGGTGCTGGAGGAATTTTTAAATGTAAAACATGACGAGAAAATGGGATTAATTTCAAACAGGTTTTCTTTAGAAAGAAGTACCATTTATGACTTCACAAGGTTTAAACCAATGTAAAAATACTTTCTGCCCTCCACCAAAAAGTAGCAAGTCAGTGAAAGACAGGAAGGTCCTCAACACGATGGACTGACTGGACAATGGATTTGAACATGGAGGATGTTGTGAGCATGGAGCAGGACAGGACAACTTTGGATCTGTTGTTCCTGGGGTTGGTGTGAGTTGTAGTCAACTCAATGACATTTAACATCAATTACAACATAACCTCATGACTCCTGTGCATTTCTAAGGATATATGTGTCTGTGTAACTACAGAGGCCAGATCTGGAAAGCCACATTCAACCTGACCATAGTTCTTGGGCTTATCTTTCTGGGAGAGGTTACAAGGCACATTTAAAACTTTATCTATAGCACTTCCATTTCTTGAAAAGATTAGTGATGCAATTTGTATAAATAACAGTTAATTTTTAAAAACAGCCTCAATAAGGTTACAAGGCTACATACATACCCCAGCAGACTGGTGCAGGCTTATCTTTCCTACCCACCATCATTAACCTGGCCTTGATTATTGATGCCTGATTTTTGTTGTTGTTGTTGTTCCAACTGTTCAAAAAAGTCCCTCTCACTCCTTTGCCTTGGAATAAAATCCCAACTCTTGGTCTGAACATCTGAAAAATAGTTGTATTAACAGGTTTTCCTTATATGTGTGTGGATAGTATTCTACCACTCATAGCATTAACTTCAGGACAGATCTTGAAATGATTTTTTTTTTCTATGAAATCAACACCAGTGGCCCTCACTTTTTCACTCTCAGCATGGTGGATCACGTGATTGTCTGATTAAAAATGGCCAAGGCCAGTCCATCTCAGCTAACTTCTAGAATGTCGATCTTTACATATTCCATTGCATTTTTTCACAGCTTCCAATTTTCCTACATTCATGCTTTATACTCTCTTATATTCTAACTATTAACTGATTTTTAAAGCTGTTTCTCATTTTTAGTAACGTCTACTAGAATGCTCTACCTTTTATACTATGTCTAACAGTTCCTCTGAATTGTCCACGTTTTGGTGTGTGCCACTGCATGGGAACTGACCCATAGCTGACCCTCCAGCAGATTTGCAGAGGCAGTAAATTGTACAGGAGGAGACTGCCCATCCTTCTCCTGTGGAGCAGCTGGTGGGTTCAAACTGCAGTGCAGCAAGCATCTTACCACCAGGCCATCAGAGCTCCTTATCAAAAGATTGTCCATAGGGTCTTCAAAGGTCAGTTATTTCAGAAGACTTTTTAGTCTGTCTTAGTCTGGAAGCTCTGCTGAAATATGGCCACCATGCGTGCCCAATTCAGTCCATGGTCTTTTCGATCACCTGCTATGCATCTGAGAGCTGAACAATGAACAACAGAGGGACCCATGTCTTTGAGTTGTGGTGCTAGAGAAGATTGCTGAATATCTTGGAGAAAGTGAAACCAAATGGAGCAGCTTTGTCTCACATACTTTGAACATGTTGCTGTTGTTGTGTTGTTATGTGCCGTCGAGTTGCTTGCGACTCACTAGGAGAGGCTATTCCTTGGAGAGGAATAGTGTGCTTAGAAAAATGGGAGGGTGAGCGAAAGAGAAGACCCTCAATCAGATGGATTGACATAGTGAATGCAGCAATGGGCTCAAATGTGTTTGAAATTATGACGATGGCATAGGATAGGACAAGGTTCAGAGCTGTTGTTTGTAAATTCCCAATGAGAAATACTCAACTTGATGGCACCTAACAACATCCTGAGTCTGGGCCATGCCTGTCCCAGCACACCACTGTCTTGTACCTTGCTCCTGAAGCACCTTGTGGCTGGGTTTCCATTTGCATTCTTACATCTAGAATGCTCTTCACATGCCTCTCTTCCTTCTTAGGTCCAACTCATGACCTCTCCACCTCATTGACCACAGCTCTACTGTCTTAGCCTCTGGCTTCTGGGGTTAGCCCTTTCCTGACAGAACTCAGGGCACTGTCTTTAACCTGTCATTGATGCTGATGAGTAAGAACTTTTGCTTTATAAACTTTACTCTCTTAATTATTCTTCACAACATTCTAAGGAGGAGATACTTTTTTATTTTTTTAATAGAGAAGCAGTTCAAGCTCAAGTAGGTTAAGAGCCTTGCCCAAGAGCACGTGGCTAGTTAGCAGTGGAGTTCAGGTGTGCTCAAGATGACGATGATGATGATGATGATGATAAAACTGCTAGTCAGCTATCCAATATCCTGTTTGTTTCGCTCACAGACTGAAGGCTCATGCCAGCAGGGACCCTAGGGTATGCACACTGTGGTCCGCCATTCCTACTACCACTGAGTCAATCGCAGCTCATAGTGAGCCTCCATCAGGCTGTAAATCTTTCCTGTAGAAGATTGCTCATCTTTCTGCCACAGAGTGGCTATTGCATTACTTACTACATCATCGGGCCTTCTTAACAGGAAATCCATTGCTGCAGAGTTGATTCCAACTCATAATCAATCTCCATCAAGCCCAGAGACTGTAAATCTTCAGGGGAGGAGACTATCCATTTTTCTTCCTCACAGCAGCTAATGGTTTCAAACTACTGACCTTTTGGTTAGCTGCGCAACAGGCAAGACAGCATGTCATCAGAGCTCCTGTTTAACACTAAGTAGTTGTGGCTTTGGGTCAACAGCACAACACTCTATCTACTAGGCCCCAGAGCTGCTTATCTGACCCAAAGTGGCCCTCTATGAGACAGAATAGTCTCACAGGATTCCCAAGTCAGCAAACCTTAATGGATTGTTTGTTACGCATCTGAAGAGTTGGACAGTAACTAAAGATGACAGAAAGAATTGAGGCCTTTGAATTGTGATGTTGGGGGAAAAAAGCACTATTTCATGGACAGCCATGAAAAAGAATGAGCAACTATATCTTGGAGGGAGTGCAGCCAGCGTGCTCCTTAGAGGGAAGGATGGTGAAACTTGGCCTCACAGACTTAGGGCATGCTGTTAGGAGGGTCAGTCCCTGCTTGGAAAAGTGGAGGGCCAGCGAAAGAGAAGATCCTCAATGAGGTGGACTGATGCTGAGACCGTAACTATAGGTTCCACTGCGGCAGAGATGATGATGATGATGGAAGAAGACAGGGCAGGGTTCAGATCTGATGTTCACAGGGCCGCTGAGACGCACTTAACTCAACAGTACTGAACAACAAACCCTAAGAGGAACCCACTGTGTCATCTTTCTCTCCATGGTTGGTCCTATCTTTCCACTAGCACTCTAATACTTAAACCACTGTGCCACCAGGGCTATTGAGCAGTCATTCTAGGTGGTATTTTTAAACGTGTTAATACTATTGCTCTGATGTGGAGGAAACCTCTGAGACTCTGGGTAATCAACAGATCCATCTAGGCCTGCCTGGCTCTAAAGCTCCTCTTTTTCCATTTCCTTCCCTGGACCATTCACTGGCTCAGCTGGTCCATTTTTCTGAGGCAGGAACTGGAGTTGTGAGCAGTGAAACAGTTTTTGTTTTTTTCACTGTCTTTCGGTAAATCAGCAGAGGAAGGGTTGGAGATTCATGAAGGGTCCACTAGCAAGGTGCCTCTGAGGTCACCCTGGCCAGGTCACTAGGCCAGCACACCCCCAGGTATTGGGTGGAAGCTACTTGGACCAGCCCCCTGGGGCTCGGTGATGAGAGAGGCGGCCACTCCTCGCGGGGGGTCCAGGAGTCACTGACCCCGTGATCTCCCACCGTGGCACTGCCAGCCATAGTCTGCTCACTCGCCCAGTGGATGGGTGGGGGCAAGGGTGGGAGTGCGGTGAGAAGCTTGGCAGTTCCATCCAGATGCGAATTGTCCCTCCCGCACTTCCCGGGCTGCAGGGGCCTCCATTAGCGCCCCAGAGGAGTCAGAATCCACACCTTCGCAAATGGGCCCGCTTTCCCAGGGCCCTCCTGCCCAGACCTTCCCTGGGCTCTGTAGGTTTTGACACCTCTCCGTAACCTGGTAGGGGGCCACCTAGCACCTCTGGCCCGGATAAAAGCTCAGGCTTAGAGGTGGCCAATCCAGCCTGCAAAAGCCAGCAGCCCAGCCATGGCTCAGTCGCCTACTCCGCCTACTCCGCAGAGCTTCCTCAGCCGAGACCACTGGATCTCCTCGCAGGCTTGGGGCTGGGCTGGCCACTCGGACTCCACGTCCCCGGCCTCCTCCTCGGATTCGTCGGGTTCGTGTCCCTGCGACGGCACACGCGGCCTTCCCTGGTCGGAGGCACCTGCTCGCAGCGCCAGAGCCACGCAGACGGCGCCCCGACGGGCGCGCTCCGGGCCCCCGGGCGGCCAGCGGCAGAGCGCCAGCGAGCGCGAGAAGCTGCGCATGCGCACGCTCGCCCGCGCCTTGCAGGAGCTCCGCCGCTTTCTGCCGCCATCGATGGCGCCGGCGGGTCAGAGCCTGACCAAGATCGAGACCCTGCGCCTGGCCATCCGCTACATCAGCCACTTGTCTGCCGTGCTGGGCCTCAGCGAGGACAGCCTGCAGCGCCGGCGCCGGCGGCTCAGCAGCACGTCGAGGGGCTGCCCGCTCTGCCCCGACGACGGCGGACCCGCGCAGGCGCAGTGCATTGGCTCACCTGCTGGCGCTGCCGCGTTCTGGGGGACCCCGACTGCCAATCTCGGAGTCTTGGCAGCGCCAGAGCACCTCGAGAGTCGGGTCCCTGACATGAATCCTTGTGTGTCACCCCCTTCCTATCCCAGCATGCAGTCATCCACGCATCTGCCCAGAGAGAAAGACCCTGAGGCAGCTGTTTGGATGTCCCTGCAAACTTGTTCAGGGACAAAGACATCCCTGCAGCCTGGGAGCCCTGCTATTCCTTGGACGCCAGCCCCTGTACCTCCAGAGTTGGCTGCTGTGTACCAGGTACGGGCACACGCGCTCCCCACCCACTTTCCTTGAGGGCGGTCCCCAGGCTTCAGCTGGAAATGGTGGGAGAGGTCTCAAGTCTTCAAATGGTCTCATACTTTTTAGAGTTCAAATTATCCTGTCCATCCCTAGTAAGTGGTGGAGGCATGCTAAGAGGAGGATGGTAGGGCCCCTAACCTCTGGGGAAGTTAAGCCATCACCTCCCATCAGTGCCACCACCATTTTTCACAGCTGGAAGAGGAGGGAGTGCTTCGCTTGCTACAGTGGCTAGGCTGAAGGTAGCAGAAGCCACTGTTTAGTAATTGGCTCTTAGTGCTCTGTTAAGAGTTGATGAAGAAGGAGACAGCACTTCCTGGATATCCTGTGGGCTTGGAATTGGTAACCCTTATGTTTCCTTCAAACTTCATTAGGTCAGATTAATAGTCAACATATATTGATCCGTTGCTATAGTTATTCTTCAGTTACTATGACACCGTTCTTGAATTTTACAGCTCTCCCAAAACCCCTATGAAGTAGGTAATGTCATTATCTATATATAGATGAAGGGAGCTCTGGTGACCTAGTGGTAAGGAGTTTTAGTGCCAATTCAGAGGTGAGCAGTTAAAATCCACCACCTGCTCAGAAGGAGAAAGATGGACACTCTCCTCCCATGGGATTTACAGTCTGAAAACCTGCTGGAGAATCAGCTATGAGTCTGTTCTGGCTTCATAGCAATGACTTTGACTTTGCTGATTTATGTAGATGAAGATTTGCTATTGAGTAGGTCCTTGAGTCATGGTGACCCCTGTGTTATACAGACTGAACGCTGCTGGGTCCTGTGCCATCTGCATGACTGATGCTGATTAGACTGCTGTAATCCATTGTGATCCACACATAAAGCTTTCATTGGCTAATTTTCAGAAGTAGATTGCCAGGCTTTTCTTCCTAATCCCTGTTGGTTCAGCATCATAGCCTCCACTGACAATGGTTTTGCATACTGCGACTAGAACAGGCTAGCCAGGCCTCACAGCTAGTGAGTGGCAGAGCTGGCATTTGAACCCAGGCAGCATGAGACCAGATCCTGTGCGCTCACCCACTTTCTCCCTGCATCTGTGGTACCAGAGATGCCCAGAAGCTGCCAGGCACACCTGGGGCGCTTCCACACTCAGGAGACTCTCCCAGCACAGAACAGTGTGGCCCACTAACCGCTGCTCTTGGCTTTTGTTATATTTGGGTTTTGGTTTTTTTTTTTTTCACAGGGTACCACTGTGACCTCAGGGTCCTGCCTGACACTGGGAACACCACCTCTCCTTGCTCACCCACCGTGCCAGAGACTTGAGCCTCAGACACAGTTAGGGAGCTGGAGCAGTAGTGCAGAGGTGCTCCCCAGCTCTGCGGAGCAGGCCACCGGCTCCACGTTCCAGCTCAGTGAAGCGTGCCATGCCCAGAGCTCAGACGTGCAACTCAGTGACTGCTCTGAACTTTGGGAAGACAGTCTGGAGGGGGTTCACCTGGGCATCTACTAATCTCATGGCCTTGTGTCAGTTAGAAATGAGACCTCATTAACTACTTCTGTGATTTCCAAATTTGCTGTTAGCCAAGGATCCTGTTATCCAGGTGACTTCTACATAGAAGCTTTGTATGGAGCAGATATATGTGGGCTCCCTGACTACAGTGTAGGTTGGGACAGTGCTCTCACACCTGGGCACCCCCAGAATGCCCAGCACTCTGCAGAGCACAGCTGGGACTGCTCTCCGCCACAGACTGCTTGACCACAAAGGAGGCCAGGCAACAACTGGTGGGCTAGGGTAGCTTGGGAATTGAGGGACAGTTTATTAGCTCTAATTCTTGGTGACAATTGGCCAGAAGCCTATATGTTTAAAAATGTTTCCTTTTTTAAAAAAAACACAATAAAAATGTGGTTTGGTCTGTTTTTCCATCTGGGCTATTATTGCACTTGGTAAAGGTACAATGAACCCATACTGTCACTAACAAGTCATGCTCCCCTGCCCGCCCAGAACCCAGGCCTGTCAGGGTAGATGTGGCATCCTCACCTGCCAGTTTGACCATGTTTCTTGCACCTGGGCTTTAGGCCAGGTGCTCCATTTGATTTGCATTGCAGAATGGCACAGGTGGCCAGGTTGGGTCTATCTGCTTGTCACAGGTCCATCACCTCTGCCTTTGCCCTTTCCTATTCTTCAAGGAACACTCTTGCCAATCTATGTGGGTGCATGCTGTGGTCAGACAGACAGGGACCCATAGTGGGGAGAACAGAGGCCCAGAGACCTGTGAGTCAACACCCTTCACAGGTACACTCCCATTCCTCCCACAAAGGATGGCTAAGTGGATCCTATGTGTTAGGCCTGCTTTATATGCCTGAGATAAAACATTCACCAACTAGCAGGGTGAACTGCAGGGAAATAAGTGTCCATAGTCCAAGTCCCAAGTGCAAGGTTGCAGATTTGTGGGCCCACAGTGGCAGCCTGGGGGACGTACTCTTGACAGTGTGATGTTTGTTCTTGCATTTTCTGACTGATTAGTCCTGGCTGCCTGGATTTGTGAGTTCTTAAACAGAAGTACAAGGCACCACCTGGCACTTGGAGAGCTGCCATGATCCATTTCTGCATAATAGGTGACCCTGGAGCAGAGCACTGATGAATGTGCAAGAGCTTGCCAAGAGGAGGGAAGGGAGCCTGACAGGCCCAGGAAACCGCCCGAACCAGATTGAAACCATGCTAGTGAAGCCTCCCCTCAGTCTCATGTGGGACAGTGACAGTTTGAACTGGAGTTCAGTTTGGTGGGGCAAGTTGTGGCAACTTGGTGAGGCATTTGGTTTCTGGTATCCTGGGTGACGGGGCGGAATGGAAAGATTGGAACTAAGGAAAAACTGATTAAAACCACATGGTAGGAAATAGCACCAAACAGGGAAGCCAACCAGGAGGCTGTTACAACATTGGGGGAGAAAAGGGGAGGCAGGAAGATCAGATTGACAGGTTTGATGTAGAAGCTCTCAGCCACTGATGGCCTTCACTGGCAGTCCGTCCTTGCTTGCTGACCTGGCCTGAGACATCGGGCAGGTCTCTCTCTGATGAATTTCCCCATCCCCTAAAGGGAGTGCTGCTGTTCTTCTTCTAATCCAGAATTTGTGGGTTTTGATTGCCACTTCAGGGCCCTTCTGTTTCTATCAGCTACAACGAGAAAACCTTTAGAAGTAGCAGAGACCAGGCCCTGTGTCAGACCGGCAACACCAAGCCAGGGTCCCATGGTTGCCTCTACCTCATGGTGACCTGCCTTCCTGTGCCTCTGAGCAGAACTGAACTCTGGAACGATTCCAAGGCCATGAGTCTTGGAAAGCAGATCCCTCCGAGATTCCTCCACCTGGGATCATACCTCCAGCTTTTCAGTTTGTAGTAGTAATTGTTGTTATGTGCTGTCAAGTTGCTTACAACTCATAGCAACTCTATGTACAACAGCTCTGAACCCTGCCCTATTCTGAACCAATTTCATCATCTCTGACACACCCACTCCCATTACCCCGTCACTGAGTCAATCTATCTCATCAAGGGTCTTTCTCTCTTTTGAGATGTCCCTCCACCCTCCCAAACATGATGTTCCTTTCCAAAGATGGGTCCCTCCTTGTGATATGCCCAAAGTATATCATATATCAGATGGATCTTCAAAATCCTAGCCTCCAAGAAACAGCCTGGTTTCATCCTCTCCAGGAAGAGAAATTCTTTGTTCTCTTAGCAGTCTATGGTATGTTCAATACTCTCTTCCAGCACCACAGTTCAAAGGCATCAGTTTCTAGGAGTACTTAAATATTGAACAATCCAGCAACTCCACTTGCTGTGGAATTTTTAGGCAGGTTACAAAAACTCCCTGAAAGTCCGTTTCCTCTCCTATGAAGACCATAACAGCCCCTCCCTTCCAGGGTTCTTGGCACAGAGTAAGCATTGAACAGTAGCTATGTACTGACAGTGACCCAGTCTAGGCCTCAAACCTGGGTAGGCGTCGAACCACCTGCTTCCAGGGGCTGCCTGGGAGACACATTTGAGATGCTGGTGGGCAGAGTGAGGGAGGCCGCTGTTTGAGCTAATCCTTCCTCCCTGGTCCCCTGTTTTTCAGAGGTAGCTACCCCAACTCCTCCCACCTGTGCTTCATCCCAGTACCCCACTCTGGTCTGCCCTCCGCACAGTGCCTGGGACAGAAGAGAGGACCTGTTGCAGATGCCCCGACACTTTCTTCTAGGAGCCATGGCCATCATCTCCTACTACACTGAACATTCAGGTATAGCTTACCTGGGCCTTGCAAAAACCTTGCTATGTAGATGGTGTGCCAAGTTGGCACATGGGGAAAGTGAAGCTTGGAGAAGTGAATGAGAGCAGCTGCTCCTCATGGCCTTGACTGGCAGATGGAGCACGGCCCAGGGAAACCCTCCCTGAGGGTTTGTGACAGTCTCCTGCTCTGCAACCTTGAGCTCTGGGTGCCCTTATCCACAGCACCAGTTCCTGCTGGCCACAGCCACATGACCACTATGAATGCCAGCATTGTATGCTACCAGGCCTACATGCAGGCAGAGTGCGGCTATCACAGTCAGAAAGACAGCCTTTATCTCAGAGAGCTGGGAGGACCCTAGGAGATGTGTGCTTAGCCCAGTGCCAAGCACAGAGGAGACAAGCAATGCCACCTCTTCTCCCTGATGGGCCATATCCCTTCTACCTTGTCCTGGTAGCCTGGAACAAACAGGGATTGGAGATGCCAGGGCCAGTCCCTCTCCCATGGGGACCACCAGAAGGGGCTTGCCTGCTCGTCCCACTGACCAAGTGTCAGCCATGGCCACTGAGCACTGGTGACAGGAAGGGCTGGCACAGAGGGGATGGGGACACTTAATCTGGTGTGATCCCAGAGTCTCCTGGTTGGTGGCACTCCTGGTTGGCTGCAGGATCCCCTGGTGGGGGGCTGCTTCCTCTCCTTGGCTTTGATATGCAGATGCCCCTGGAGGCAGGGAAGCTCTTTTTGCCCAGACTTCTCACAAGCAGGAGGCTGTGAGGGAAGAGATTGGGCGGCACAGTAAAGCCAGAAGACACGGCCAAAACAGTACTAGATACAGGAGGCAATAAAACTCTTAAGGGTCAGACTTTATGCTGGGCAGTGCACCTCCTTAAATGTACACAGCAGTCAGGTGCAGAGAGGAAAGGTCCTCCGTATTTGGGTTGGGACTGAAGCCAGGCCTGTTGGACTCCAAGCTTGTTCCTGGTAGCTGGAGGTGACACACACCTGGTATCTGTTACTTCCCTCCCAACAACCTTGGTGGTTTAGCTGGAACTTGTGGGGTCATAACTTGGGTGAGCCTCCTACAACTTAACTCCATTAGCCAAGAGATGTCTATCAAGGTCAGTGGGCCCTAGGCCGCCTTTTTGAAGTTGGTCAGGGCAGCTTTGGCCTTGACTTCTGGCCAGATGCTTACAGTGATCTGGAGGGCACAGCCCCCATTCTGTGAGTCTGGCAAATCTGTCCTGACCCTCACCCACCCTCAGCACTGCCCCTCCCTTGTGAGCCGCTCCTGAAAACAACTACTCCTCAATTGTGTGGTCCCTTTACTGTTGATAAGCTGCTGTCTCACAGACCCACAGTACAGGTAGGAGGCTAAGCACTCCAGGCCAAAGGCCCAGGGCCACGGCCTTCCTCGGGGATGCACACTGCAGCTCAGGGAAGGAGGCCCAGCTAGGCCCCGGCTCCCTCACCTCCTGTTAAACTTTCTCAACCTAACCCTCTACTGTTGAGCCAATTCTGATTCACAGAGACCCTCCCTTTGGTTTCTGAGGTTGTATCTTTATGGAGCAGTTGGATTCAATTCTCCGACTTTTAGGCTAGCAGTGCAACAGTGCAAATCCAACTCCTCCCTGCTTTCTGAAGAGCACTCCCTTGGCTCTGCCAGGACCCACTCTGTGCCAGGCACCCTGGCAGCCCTGCATGGCATCTGCTCTCCACATCTCTGGTTCCCTAGCACGCAGGTTTCCAGCCCCCAGTGTGGATTCACATGAAACGGGCACCACAGCCAGGAGCTGCGGTCAGTGGGCTCTGCTTGTCTCCCATCTATACTCTTGGAAGTCACCCACCATCTTTCCATTTACCCCAAGTTGCCTCGCCCCCACCATCTTTCCATTTACCCCAAGTTGCCTCTATCCCAGTCTCTCAGACACATTCTTGCTTAAGTTTAATAACAAGCCTGGAAGCTAATCTAGAAATCTTTTATGTACATTTTCTCTTAGAAAAAAAAATATACAGATCTGGTGTCCTGTGGATTCCTCAGGTTCCAGGGTCTTCATGGGAAGGTCGGAGAAGGCACAGGGTGACCACCACCCCTCCAAGGCTGTCCATTGTCCATCAAGGGCTTCTGCTCCTCTGGCCCAGGCACGGGGCTTCCCTGAGATCAGCTGCAGGGCCCTGGACATTGGGCCGCCATACTGGATTCCATGTTGGGGTGGGGTTGGCGAGAGGGGCAGAGGCTTAGGTGGTCAGGCTGCTTGGCTATCAGGAGCTGGCCGAGTCCCACCAGTGGAGTGGAGAGAACGTGGACCTGAGTCTGTCCTTGAGAGGAGGGGACTGGTGACCTAGGCTCTGGAATGGGGGTACCTACCCCAGGTGTCTGGGACAGATGCACAGGGGTATCTCTGATGGGGGCCAGGTGACTTGATGGACCAGGGACTACATGCTGTTTTCTGTGAACCACTGGAGCACCACCTTCTGGTTCCTCTTCACCCACTCAATGTTGGTTCTTGTTTGCTCCAGGGCTTGCTCCAGGGCCCGCGTGCCTGAGCCAAAGCCAATGTGCGCGTAGTCCTTCTTGAACTGCTCCAGCTGTCAGAAAACAGATTCTTAGTCCTAAATCAGGTCTCAAGGAGAGATTCCCTCAGGCCCTTGGCCTCCAACTCTACAGGGCCCCTCCAGAGACAGCTGGACGCCTTGGAAAAGAAGGGGGCAGTTTTTCACTTTTTTCTGGGTTAAAATCCTGATCTACGGGGAAACCAAGCTAGTTTAAACTCATGGTGACGCCATATATGTCGGAAAGGGATGAAGCTCCACAGGGTTTTCAAGGCTGTGCGGTTCAAAGCCACCCCAGCTCTCTGGAGGAAAGATGGCCAGCTTCCTCCTGTTAAGATTTACAGCCTCCAAAGCCAACGGAGAGGGTCAGTCATGGCAGTGGTTTTCTTTTACTTCTATCCAGTAACAATGAAGACCCCAAACATTTAATTAAGGAAACAATTCTATTTACAATTATACCAAGAAAGAGAAAATACTGAGGAATAAACTTAACAAGTGAAAGACTAGCATTCTGAAAACCACAAAACATTGTTGAAAATAATGAAACCCCTAAATAAAGGGGAAGATATGCATGCTCATGGGTTGGAAGACTTAATATTCTTAAGATGGTATTACTTCACAAATTAATTTACAAATTCTGGGCAATCACTATAAAAATTACAAGTGTCCCTTTTTTTTTTTTTTTTAGCAGAAATTGACAAGCTGATCTTAAAATTCACATGGGAATACATGGACCCAAATTAACCAAAAACACTACTGAAAAATAACAAAGTTGGAAGACTCATACTTCTTAATTCAAAAGTTTATTATAAAGTTAGAGTAATCAAAACTGTGTGGTCATGGCATAAAGATAGATAAATCAATGAAGTAGAATGGAGAGTTGAGGAATAAACCCACATAAATATGGTTAATTCATTTTTTACAAGAATGCTGGGTCCATTTAATAGAGGAAAGGGTGGTCTTCTCAATAACTGCATTGCTGTTTTGTGCACGTGAGTCAGCAAAGACTCACAGCAATCCTACGAACGACAGAGTGGACCTTGTCCTGTCTTGTGCCATCCTCATGGATAAGCACATGCAAATGAAGGAGGTTGGATCTCTACTCCACCCCATTCACTAAAAGGAGCTCAAAGTGGAGCAGAGACTTACAGTAAAATTCATAGAAGAAAGCACAGAATGTTTTCACGACCTTGAATTTTACAAGATCTCTTAGCCATGATACCACAAGCATGGCAATGAATCGATTGATCGAATTTGTGCATGAAAAGGTTTTTCACTTTTCCTAGATAATGCAAAGACAATGCACAAAATGGAATAAAATATTTTAAAGTCATGGATCTGATAGATAGCCTAGTGATAAGAAGCTGTGCTGCAATCTCAGAGATACACAGTTCAAATCCACCATCTGCTCCATGGGAGGAGGCTGGGCAATCTCCTCCTGTGTGATTTCCTGCCTCTGAAAACCCACTGGAGGGGCGGCTGTCAGTTCTAACTCAAGGGCATACAACAACCACATCTGATAAGTAGTCCATATGCAGACTACAGAAAAACTCTCAGAGCTCAACAACGAAAAGAAAAGCCAATTTAAAAATGGGCAAATATAGCTCATTGTTGAGTACCATTGACAACCATAAATGACTAATGGGTTTTCACAGAGGCAGTTAATTGTACGGGAGGAGACTGCCCTTCTTTTTCCCACAGAGCAGATGCTGGATTTGAACCATGTGTCTTTAGGTTGAGAGTGCAGCTCCTTGCCACTAAACCGCCAGTGCTTCCTAAAAGGTAGCTTAGAAAATTTTAATATGGTTTGGAGGTGAGAAGGCGTTGTTTTCTTGGGTGTGATAGTGGCAGTGTGACAAAGTTTTTATGATTATTTTAGCTATGTCTGCAGTACACACACAGGTGCAAATACAAGTGATTTGGATTAAAACAACCATGAGATATCATCTCACCCCAGTCAGAATAGCAAGATTTAACAGAACAACAACAACAAATGCTGGTGAAGTTGTGGAGAAACTGGAACCCTTATTCACTGTTGGTGGGAGTGTAAATTGGTGCAGCCACTATGGAAAGGCAGTATGGCACTTTCTCAAAAAGTTGCAAATAGAAATACCATTTGACCCAGCAATTCCACTACCGGAAATATACCCTAAAGAAACCATAACTGCCACCCAAACAGACACATGCACACCTATGTTTATTTTAGCTTTGTTCACAATAGCAAAGAGCTGGAAACAACCCAAGTGCCCGTCAACAAATGACTAGATAGAGGAGCTCAAGTATATTCACACAGTGGAATACTATGTGGCATTGAAAAACAAGGAACTCATGAAATAGTACACAAAATGGGTGACCCTAGAGGATATTATGCTGAGTGAAATATCTCAGACAAAGAAGACAAATACAGCATAATGCCACTATTATAAAAGAGGACTGATATAAGGGAGGGGGGAGACTGAGAAAGATGGGACAAATAACGTATACTGCATTGAAACAGACGAGAGAGAGAACTGTTTAAAACAGACATTATGATTAGATATTATGGTTAGGGCAGGAGTCCAGAATGAAGGTAGCATATTAGTGGAGTGGACTTGGGGGAGGGAATGAATAACAATGAAAGAATTTTTTCTTTTACTTTTCAAAAAGAAAATGGATTTGGGGAGGAAGGGTGGGCAAGAAGAAAAGTGCAACAATAAATGAATGGAAATCCAAAGTTTCTGTAAACTTTCATTAAAATAAATTTAAAACAACAAGTGATTTGTGTAAAAATTGCTCACCCCCTAAAATAAGAGTTGGCCAAATGTTGATAATTGTTGAATCTGAGAATACGGAGGTTGATATTATTCTCCTTACTATTGTGCTTATATAAAAATTCCCAAAATGTATTTGTTAGACTGAATCATCTACATCTTAAAAAATCTCAGTTTCCAGCCTCTCCTGTGGAAGGAAGGCCTGGTAACTTGGAGACCTTGGTCCCCTGTGGCCACACTCAGTGGGAGCTGAGTGATGCCGTCCTCAAAGGCTGGAAGGCCAGGCCCCACTGTGCCTGCTCCAGGCCTCACTGTGCCTACTCCAGTCCCCTCTCCAGGCCCCACTATGCCCGCTCCAGGGCTTGGGACAGCTTCTTACCTGTTGCAGCTCAAATTCGCTTGAGAATCGTTGGGTCACTGACCGGATGACACTGGCGAAGGAGAAGGAGCTACCACCATAACTGCAGAGTAGGGAGAGAGGAGATGAAGGTGAGGGGCAGGAGCTGGGGCTAATGCCGAGGGACGCACACAAGGCCTGACGCTAGAAGGTGGTGGGTCAGGCTTGAACACAGGTCTGAACGGAGTCTCTTACTCCTCACCCTTTCCTAGGAGCCAGCCCTCCGTTCTGCTCACCCTCTTCCTTTGCACAGAGACCATCTCTGTAGTCTCCCCAGCCTGAGTTTTTGCCTCTTGACACCCTCTCTTGCAGACTCACTCAATAAAGAGCTTATTCCAGTTGCTCCGGACAAAGTCCCAGACCAGATTTTGCCCATGGACATTGCTGGCGATGCTGCTGATGGTGGAGGTGGCATCCTGCTTCCGGATAAGATCGGGGTTCAAGGTGTAACTCAGGTACCTGTGAGGGCAGAGTGTAAGGTTAACAACCACAGCCAGGAGGGGCAGTCACACAATTCAAGAGAGGATGCACGCCAGCATATACCACTTCCTTCTGCCTCTCTAAACAATGTGTTAGGGTGCAGAGGGCTGAGAGACCCTCTCCACAGGCCTCTCTCCCTGCGGGGAGCTGAGTCCCCTAAGCAGGGTCACTGGCTACATCAGATCCTAGATCTGACAAGGGACTAATGCCCAGTTTTTTTTTTCTTGTAGTAAAGTAGAAACAACATAAACCTTTCAATTTTAGCATCTTAAACATATAAGTCCATGGCGTTTATCATACCCACATTGTTGTACAACAATCACCTCTGTTTGCTTCTGAAACTTTTCATGACCCCATCAGACAATTAAACTGTCACCATTCCTTCATCCTCAGCCCATTTCACCCTCTAATCTAATCTTATCTAACACTTTTAATCTCTATGCTTTTATCTATGCTTGTGACTTACATATTGTATAATAGTGTATATAAACTGGATTATATATTATTGGACCCAGCAATCTACTTCTGTGGAACCCCCTGGAGCAGCTCTTCTCACTTTCAGCCACTGTGAATCAGAAGCAATTGTGTCTGAGCTCCTTTCACTCAGGTGTTTTCAAGGTTCATCCCTATGTCCCATATGGATGTATCTCATAGTATGTATCAGGACTTCATCCCTTATTTATTGTCTAATCTATCGTACGGCAGATATGGCATCTTCCTAATACATCATCACCATTGTATGAATACACTAGCCTTTGTTGGTCCATCCATCCATTGATGGATACTTGCGCTATCTCTGTTGGCTATTGTGAGTGTGAGTGTTGTTGCAATGGACATTTATATATGCCTAGGAGTGGAATTCCTAGTGCAATAGATACTATCTGAGGAAGAAGAGAGGAAGGAAGGAAGGGAAGAACAAAGAAAGAATTAGTCTTGCTTCTTTCTGGGCACCAGATATGTTGCCGGCCACTACTGTCCTTGACATTAAGGGTGGCCCTTCTTTATTGGGGTTCAATTGATGGCATATGAGGTACAAAGTAGGAGCTAGAAGTCTTCCTACAAGGACTCAAGGGGTGATCAGATCCAATTTCCCCAGAGCCCTCAACAGAGAGGAAAGGAAAGTCACCATTAGGCAACGGTTAAGAGGGTCATAGCAGCCACAATGAGCTAAAAGGCTTGGCTCTCATAAAAGTTTCCAGACCTTGAGTAAATAAATGGCTTTGCTTCTTTGAGCCTCAGTATTCTCATCTGTAATATGGGGACAGTACTGCTCACATCCTTCAGGTGTGTGAGGCCTGGGTGGACGAACGTGGCAGGTTCTCCCCACACAGCGACCCTGATTACTGGTGGGGAAGAGTGCTCACCCAAGCCTGGTCCTTACCTGTTCAGGATCCACACCTCAGTGCTGCAAGCCAGGCTTGAACGTAGTTTATCAGCCTCATTCACCAGGGTGGCCTTCTGGAACTGCTCCCAGGCAAAGTTCCACTCCTTCTCCCCACCCTGGGCAATGGCTTGGCAGTAGACGGTGGACCGCAAGTTGGGGTGGATCCTGGAGGGATAGGTAGGGTCAGGGAGTGCAAGAAGCATGGAGGGTGGGACAAGGGTCAGATGAGCACAAGGTTCCCAGAGTCAACCTGGAGGGGCAGGGACACACTCACGTGTTGTTTTCAGGATGGGACATCCATTCAGTAAAAAGCCTCAAGACCAGCTCCTTACACTCCACAATTCCACTGGAGCAAGCGATGTTGATGGCATTAACTTCATTGTACCTGCCCCAGAGAGGACATGTGGTCAGCACTCCTCGCCCTGGTCTCAGCAAAGGTTTCCCATGTTATATACAACTGCAGGTGGCACAGGACAGGCTGTCTACAATCACGGCCCATCTAGTCCTTTAAGTTCCACTATTTGCTTTAAGCTTTGGGCTCGAGCTTCCCTGATCCTCAAGGTAACCTAAAGACTGAGAGGGACCTGCAAAGGCCCAATTCCTGCACCAACACCAACAACGAATTGCCCTCAAACCAGTGAGGTGACTCTAGAATTTCAGATGCACCCTTTGTATAAAGGGGTCAGATGGGCTTCACAAAGCCTCAGGGCCGACCCCTCCCTCCTGGGAGGTCCTGTCTCTTCCTGCCCACTGTCCCTTGCCCCAGCCAGGAGTCGGGAGTTCCAAAGGAGAACACTGCATGGATGCTGTTCTAGATGACCCCGGGCATGGGTAGGGGATCACACTCACTGTTCTGTCAGGCTTTGGGGTCGGGTAGTCCAGTTACCGGTGATACTTTTGAAGTGATTGAAAAGGGGCTGTATCTGCTTCCTCAAGTAGTTCTGTGGGAAAGAACACACGGAATTACTTTGAAGGGAAGACTCGCTCCCGCACTGATCCGACCACCAGGGAGCCTCAGCCATGGGTTGGCTGGAGAGCAAGGTGGAAACAAGCCAGCAATGCTGGGGCTGCCCACGGCCACACAGTGCTCAGAGCGTCCAGGCCGGGTCTAAGATCCAGACACCTGACCTGGGGCTCCTTCCCCTCAGAGCCTCAGTCGTCTTAATATTCCACATCTTAGTGTTGCCATTTTGTCAAAAGAAAATGTTTGGTTGTTGGGTTGTTTTTTTTACTCTCCTCCTGATCATCAGTTGTTGTTGTCATGAGCCATCGAGTCACCTGTGACCCATAGCAACCCTATATACAGTGGCTCTGAAGCCTGCCCTGTCCTGAGCCAGTCTCACTGACTCCAATACACCCATCCCCATTGCCCCAGTCACTTGTATCAATCTATCTCATTCAAGATCTTCCTCTCCTGCTCTGTCCCTTTCACCCTTCCAAGCATGATGTTCTTCTCCAAGGACTGGTCCCTCCTGGCAACATGTCCACAGTATGTGAGACGGAGCTCTGTGCTTTATTGTGGGAAATTTAGAAAACATAGCACAGAAAAAGCACATGCAGAAAATAAAGACCACTTGGAAGCTGACTCAAACCACACTTCCTTCTCTATCCTGTGCCTCCTTTCTTAGTTCACATGGCGTAGCTACAATTCCTGCAAACGGCTGCCTTTCCCTTCAAGTGTCATCTAAGCCCCACCTGATCTTTTTTAAAATTCTTTAGAGACTCTGGTTCAACATGGCGGGTGGTTATTTGTGGGGCTACCTCCAAATGTAGCCACAGTAAAAATTCCGAGGACAAAGATACTAGGCAGGAAGCAACAGTGGACTCAACCCACTGACACAGCCAGAAAGCCAGGAGAGAGAGGCAAGGGACATGCCAGAGGGGGAGAATCTGTGAGGACACCCCGCAGAGGGGAGGTGGTGACAGGAAAGCAGGAAGGCTGGCCATGAGGGGCCCTAGACAGGCTCAGGGCTTAAGAAGGACAATCTCCTGGAGGCAAAGGCTGCAAACAGAGACATGGAGCTAAAGTCTGTAGAAAGTCATGGAACTTCCCCTGAGGATCCCACTGGAACCTCTTTCAGCAGGAACCTCTGTGTTCCTCATGAGAGAAAATGAGTCAGAAGGGTTCAAGTCCTATGGGAACATAATGAGGACAAGCAATGGCTACTGGACTTCAAAGAGAGCTAGATGTAAAAGTCTGCATGCTGAGTGGTGGTACTCCACTCCTGTCCCCACTCTGCCCCAGCCGTGAACACCATCAGCTGCCCTGTACAAGCTCTGAAGCTCACTCTTTGAAGAAAGTTTCTCAAGAGTAATTAAAGGAGACTACCTGGGGGTACACAGTCAACGGTCTTGGCACCAGTAGCCAGGAAATTAAAAGGCGCATTGCCATGGGAAAGTCTGCTGTTAGGGACCTCTCCAAGGTGCTGAAGAGCAGTGGTGTCTCTCTGGAGACTAAGGTGCGTCTGATACAGGCCATGGTCTTCGCAATCACTTGTTATGCATCGGAGAGTTGGACAATGACCAAGGAGGATAGAAGGAGAATTGATGCCTTTGAGCTGTGGTGCTGGAGAAGAGTATTGAGAATACCATGGACTGCTAGGAAAACAAACAGATTCGTCCTGGAAAAGGTTAAACCGGATGGCTCCTTGGAGGCAAGGATTCTGAGGCTCCGTCTAACATACTTTGGACATGTTGTGAGGAGAGACCGGTCCTTGGAGAAGGACATCATGCTTGGGAGGGTGGAGGGACGGCGCAGGAGAGGAAGGCCCTCTATGAGGTGGATTGATTCAGTAACTGGGATAATTGGAATGGGAGTGTCAGAGACAGTGCGATTGGCACAGGACAGAGCAGAGTTTAGGGCTGTTGTACATAGGGTCACTATGAGTCGTAAGCGACTCGATGGCACATAACAACAACAACAACAACTGGGGGTGTGGTGGGGTGGGGAGGTGTCCCTCTCCATGAACTTGACTGCCTAGTCTCTCCACAGTGAGACCACCAGCTGACAAACTCCTCCCTCTGCAGAATTTTAAATAACTTTTTACCACCTTGCTCTTGAATTCAAAGAGGCAGCTTAGCTTCCAGCCTGAGAGAGGAAATGGAAAATGGAGAGGAAAGAAGGCGACATAAGGAAAAGAAAACGTGGTGAAAACTGACAGGACACAGTTAAGAGAAGGTGCATACAGGACGCTGGGCCCTGTATTTCAGAATTAATTGCCCCTGGGATTCTGCATCAAAGTATTTCAGAGCATGTGCCTCACAGCCCAGCAGACAGGCGCTGGCTGGTCTGAGCCTGCTCATTCGGGAGGAGTTTTCCATGGAAACCTGAGACGACTCCTGGGGCAGTGGCCTTTTCTGTGACCCCTCAAAGTGCTCATTTCCTAGATTTCAAATTGACAGACTTTGCTACATGTCTCAGTTTCCTGCCCCACCTGACCTCCTCACCTTCTTCCTTCACCCTGCAGCCTTCTCGCTCACTCACCAATTCCCCAGTCCCGCTCTCAGGAAAAGACCTGGATGGGGGTCAGCATGGCAGGCTTTACCATGCAAGATGGTCTGTGTGCTTCCTAAGAGTGTGCTTTCAGGCCCTGGGGAGAGGCTCTGAGCCCCCAGAGCTCCTCCATACCTTCATGGGGCCGTAGACTTCAGAGCGGTCGAACATGAGCTTGAAGTAGCTCAGGCTGTCTAGGGCAGCATTCCAGGGCATATACTCTGTCTCTTTGATGAGGAAGAGGGTGTTGTTCAGCGCCAGCGTGACAGGGACTATTTGAGCACTGGAGGACAGAGAGGCCTAAATTGGTACCTGTACCCAGCCCAGTCACACCCAGGGGACCCGAGCCCATGCTCTCAAGGCTCCTCTTCAGCCCTGAACTATGCTCCTTCCTGGAATGTTAGGTCCCAGAGCCCAGTTCCAGGAATCACCGGGAAGAAATGAAGGACATAGAGGCTGGGCCCATTTTACAGATGTGGAAACAGAGTTGAGATTCAAAAGGATAAAAAGTAAATGCTCTTTACTCTGCTCAGCCCTATTCTCTGGTTTGCTGAGTCCTATGGGCCTTCCCTCACCCACTTCTTGGGCTATCTGTCTATAGTTGCTTCATGAATGGCGAGGTCTAGGAGTGACATCGGCCATACCAGAGCTTAGCATCTCCCCTGGAACACATTAAGTGCTTAATAAATTATTTGTTGATCCATATCACATCTCTCTCAGAGTGCCTTCCAGATCCTCCCAGTACGGCAGCCTGCTACCCCATAAGACCCCAGGAAAAAAGTCTGGTGTCATAGAGTACAGTGAGTTCTTAAAGCTAGACAGTCCTGTGTCTGTTTGTCATTGCCACTCTGAGGCCTCAGACAAGTTACTGTGAAGCTCAATTTTCTCATCTATGAACTGGGGGTAATCATGCTACCCATCTCCGGGGTCACACAGACCGTGGGGGTAGAGTACAGGCTAGGGGTGGGGGAGGCTGTGAGGGATCCTGTCACTGCTCCTGGTGCAGAGCCAGCACAGCAGGGGGGATGGGCCAACAGGTGGGACCCAGGAAGGGAAGGATCACTCACCTGGCCAGGTTGAAGGCATCCTGGATGATCTGGGCGCGGTTAATGACAGGGATGACCTGGAAGGAAAAACAGAGTATGTAACCTCACGCTGGTGGTGGGGGCTGAGGCTGGGCCCAGGGTGGGGTGGAGGGTGGCAGACACTGACCTGCGGATTGTTCTGCAGCTGATTTTGAATCTTCACCCAGTTATTATTATCGTAGTTCACCCGGAAATAACCCGTGACATTGATGTTGAGCAGGAGCCACTCATTAGCTGTTGTTCTGAACGGTGGGTGCTCGGCTGTGAGGAAAGAGCAGGGCTTGGGTGGGGCTGCTCAGAGGGGCACAGCTGGACCCCAACCCAGGCCCCCTTTCTCCAGGTTTCAGTAGGAGAAGCTTCCTGTACAGCCTAGCACCAGCTTGCCCTGGGGCTTTCGGGGTGATCATGCCAGTAGATTGGGAGAACGAGTATGGATTGAGCTGCAGGGCCAAACTCTGTCTCTGATGGCCCTGTGACCTCGAACAGACTGTGTTCAGGTTATTGACAATGGTCTGAAGCCTCACTGGCACACCACTAGCCGTGCTGGCCCAATTCCCCCTCCACCCTCTCTCCTGCCTGTAACTGCTCCGTCACATATCAAGCCCCTCAAGTCAGAAACCAGGCACTCCTTCCTCAGTTCTCATCTGTTTGGATCCCTCAACATGCCCAAGGATATCCCCTTTGTCTCCTACAGAACCTCTGAGGAGCCAGTCTCCTCTGGGCACCCTCTCTCCTGGCCACTCTCTCCTATCTCAGTGCCTATGTACTGGTTGGTCTCTTTGCCTAAGATATTTTTCTTTGCCCTGTCAGCCTGGATAACTTTTTCTCTAGGGCTCAGCTCACTTCCTACAGGAAGCCTTCCTGATTTCTCCATAAAGTTTAATCTCCCTTATTCCCAGCTCTCTGGGCTCACGGTAGCCCAGTCATCCACTCTAAAGCACTCGGCACAGCTTTGGTGTGTTTAACCACTTTTCCTCCTCCCTATAACTTGCAAGCCTGGCCAAGGCAAAGGATGACAGGCCTGTTCCCTCAGCACCTGCAGCAGAGGGTGGCTGCTCGTGCTTTGAAGGCTGACTATATGCAAGGCATGTTTCTAACCATTTTACATGCGCTCTCTTATTTAATCGTCATGCAATCTCCCTTGGTAGACATTGTTCTAAACCTCGTTTCACAAATGATGAGGTGGAGACCAGAGAGGGGAAGGAATTTTCCCAGTGTCACAGAGCTGAGTAGAGGTAGAGTAGAGATTGGAACCAAAGAAGTGGAGGAAGCTTGTGCTGAGAAGAGTGCTGAGTGTGGGGTGAGGCACACCACCCACAGTGCAGGGCTGCTTACCTTGCTGGGTGCCGTTCAGCCAGTATCTTTCCTGATAGACACCACTTTTGAGAGATGTGATGGGCACGATCCACAGGTAGCTGCAATGGGACACGAGGGGCCAGGCAGTGAGGGCTGGCAGCCCTGTTTTGGCTCCCACTTTCTGCCCAGCTCTGACCCCAAGTGTCCCATTCTCCTGGGGCTGGGACCACGGTAGACCAGATGGTACAGCCACAGAAGCTGAGACAACAGACTAGGACTGCAGGGAGGGTTTCTACTGTAGCATGTGTCCAGGGACTGACTGAGAACCCCTGCCTAAGGGAACCCCTGCTCACTTGAACTCTGAAGGGCGGGTGACGTTGGCATCAGAATTGAGAAGGAAGTGCTTCTGGGAGATGGTCCCCTTCTCGGTGTCCACGGTGACGACGGGGAAGCCCATCTGCAGCGTCCAGCGGTCCATGATGGTGCGGATGGAGGCAGGAAGTTTGATGGTCATCTGGTTGTCTACAGCCTGAGGGCAGAACCAGGTAGTGGCCATCAGCAGACAGCCACCCTCCCACCTCCACCCACCCAGGACAACCCTCGCTTGCAGACTCTGCCTCGACAGTGCAGTCAGGAGCTGGGTCCCAGTTATACTGCTCCTGATGGTGCAGTGCTAAGCCAGCTGGAGAACTCGCCAGCTTTGGTTCAATGCACATCCAGTAAGCTAATCTACGTGGTCTGTGGCCACCCTGTGACCTCGAGGGTCTCTGCATGTCATGACCCCTCAAGGGTCTGTTCATGCTTCGGCCTGATTAACAATGAGATGAGAAGGGAGGGGAAGGAAAGCGGCCCAAGGTCACGAAGGGAGGGCATGTGAGTGTCTGTATGCGTGAGTGTGTGTGTGCCCCGGTGCACACGTTCACATACACATGTTCAGGGATGTGCATGGGTGTGAAGGAAACGAATCCAGATGGGGGACAGACTTAGGTTAGGGATGGTTTTTATTGTCTCCTTTAAAGAAGAGACTCCTGAGTCTTTGGGAGTTGAAGATGTGCTTGAGCATGGAAGACAGCTGGTTTTAGAGAGGGGCGGGAAAGGAGCAAAACTAAAGGGAGCAGGAAGGGCTTCATGGAAGTGGGAGGGGGGCAGAGGGGCAGGGGGGCGGAGGGGAAGGGGGTGGAGGGGCAGGGGGCCGAGGGGCCGGCGCCATCTTTCCAGCCGCATCTGTTTGAGGTTGAGGAGCCAGGTCAGGCTCGTAGGGGTTTAAGTTGGATAGAGACCAGCCTGGAGGGAACTCTGCGATGAGGACTTGGTCTCCCCTCCCTGGTCTGATTGGCCGTGGGGTTTGGACGCCTGAGGACTGGAAAGACAGGGGCAGCAGTGTGCGTGGACAAGCGGGCTGTGCAGGCCAAGAGGAAGTGCATCATGTGGGATTCCAGAACGAGTGCTGGTGTTGGAATGACCAGATGCCCGAGGAGCCACATCCTTTGGTGGGGAGAACCGCAAATGGTGGAAGACTATTGGAGTGGACATGCCAGAGGGATGTGGGCTCAGGAGGGAGTGGAGGTGGCTGCCTCTTTGTTAGGAGGGCAGGAGTTTACCCAACAAAACAGAGGCTGCAGGGGTCTAAGTAGACAAGATGGCAAGGCAGGCAGGCAAGCGCAGAGGGTCAGAGTTTATGTTGAGGGTGCTGATGTGTGCAAAGCCATGTCTGGGAGTGGCAGGATGGGGCATAGGGTCGCCAGAAGTGCTGAGTAGGCTGAATGACTGGCTCCAAGTGTCAGCCAGACGAGAGCTGGGCTTGGAACAGCGAGAGCTTGTTTCCTCGTCACTAAGCCCGGATGAAGAGACTCGTCAACTCCCCCACAGAGCTCATTACAGTATAAGGCAGACCACCTAGTGAGGTCTTGCCATAGGGTTTCTTAAACCTTCCAGTCACCCATTTTTCAGATGAGCAACTGAGGTTCCAAATGACTTGTCTGGCATTGCAATATGACCCAGACCCCATTCTCTTACAAAGGTGCTGCCCCCAGGAACTTTCTGCACTTTGAGGACCCAAACAGAACAGCTTCACAGGTGCTGGCTGTTACCAACCTTCTGCAGGTGCTCCCACAGGTTCAGGTAGTTGGTGTTAGAGTAGGAGAAGGCATGGAGGTAGGACTGTGGAAAGACAGGCCATCATGAAGATAGTTGGTGACCCCCCAGACTCCACCACTCAAGTCTGGTGGTCAGTTGGGGCTGGGGCAAGGAGTAGGCGTTGGGGAAAGCCCATCCATTTCAAGGACAGTCAGGGGGTCCTCACCGCCAGGCCCTGCTTGAACAAGTCCTCAGTCAGGAATTCAGAAAGCATTCTGATGACAGAAGCACCCTGAAAATGAACACAAAAGAGGGGTCATGGAGGGGCTGGTCAGGCATCATAATGAGTGGATCAATGGTACTTAATGTTTAGGACAAAAAAAAAAATCTATGAATGAGTGTATGAAAAATCAACATGCTTTGTAAACTTTCACTCAAATGAAAAAAATAAAGAATAGTAACTAAAAAAATAAGAAGAATAGTAATTTAGAATTTCAAGCAAAAGATTTAATAGATAAATGGGAAAGGGCAAGGTCATATACAATATAAGGGTTGACTGTTGTTGTGGTTGGGTATCGTCAAGTTGGAACCAATCCCCAGTTGACCCTCCAGCAAGTTTTCAGAGGCAGTAATTGCACTGGAGGAGACTGCCCATCTTTCTCCTTCGGAGCAGCTGGTGGATTTGAACTGTGTGCCTTCACGTTGACAGCATAAGCCTTACCACTAGGCCACCAGAGTTCATGAGGTTTGATTAGAAACTGTAATTAATTATACTAATCAATGGTAATTCATATAAAGTAACACATACATGATTGATCCAGGAAAATAGTAAGCAAATCTTACCCATCAAAATGGGTATGAGTAACCGCATGAAATGGTAATTCTTTTAAAAAACACAATGTAGATGAATGAAAAATCTGTATGTCATGTAATCTCTCACTCAAGTAAGTAAGAAGGAAAATGTAAAATTTTAAAACAAAGACATGAAATACTAAAGAAAAGAGAAAAAGAAAGAGGGGAACGTCAGAAGCCTGGCAGGCCCACCCCGGTCTGCCCTCCGGCTGTTCCAAAGGGGGCAGCTCACCTTGCTGTAGGAGATGGAATCAAACACCTCGCTGATCTGGGCCGGAGTGTTGACTTCATTCTCAGGGGAGGACAGTGGGTGGGAGGTGGTCAGTGCGTCCACAGCCATCACACGGTACACTTCACTCAGCACTATGAGGTCTTTCTGCAATTCCAATGGCCATTAGCTGGCTGGGCAGGCTGGCTTGGGAGGGAAGAGCCCAGGCGCACCCCACCCTGAACCCTGGGGCCCCCAAGCGACTGGCTCACCAGATTCCAGGTGGGTTCTGCAAAGTCAGCACCCAGGTACTCCACGTAGGAGGCAAAGCCTTCATTCAGCCACAGGTCGTTCCACCAGGCCACAGTGACCAGGTTCCCAAACCACTGTGGGGAGAGGTGGTTAGTGACAATCCACTCTGGACTCTGTCACTCATAGCATTCGGAGCTATCCTTAGCCAAGCTCCTGTCTCGTCACAGCTCCTCTCTGCTGACCCTGCCAGGAAGGATTCTTCCCAGAAGCCCCTCTGCCCTCTGCACACCCCATGATGGGCTACCTGGTGGGCCAGTTCATGAGCAATCACAGTGACCACCCTCTCCTTGTTGCCGATGGAAGAGGACTGTGGATCGTACAGCAGGGCGCTCTCCCGATAGGTCACCAGCCCCCAGTTCTCCATGGCACCCGCGTTGAAATCAGGCAGGGCAATCTGGTCTGAGGAGGGGGTGAGACCGTTGAGCGAAGTCCTAGGTGTGGAACCCCATCTTTCACCTCCCCCTCTGAGGACCTTTACTCACCAGACTTGTTCAGTGGGTAGGGTGTGGAATAATGCTGGGCAAAGAATTCTAGGATGGGGCCTGTCACGGTTTGGGCGTAATGGCTATGGCCCTCACGGGTTGCACTGGGCCGAGCCCAGATACGAATCTACAAAAAGAGTAAATGTAAGGGGTCCTTCTTGGACCAAGTGCAGGTGGGTGAATCTGGGACCTGACACACTAGTGGAGCTTCCCAATGGGGTGTCTGGTCAGCAGAAGAGGAGTCTTCTGGGGGCCTTTGAGTCTTAGACGGGTCTTCAGGGTTGGGGTGGGGGTGAATTAATCAGTCACCATCTCTTTGGTAGCATCATGAGAAAGGGTACTATTCTCCTATTTTTCAGATGTAATGACTGAGGATCAGATAACGCAAGAGGGCACTCGCTCCAGGTCACTCAGCAATTCTAACACTGGCCTGCAGTTTCAGGGGCTGGCGCAGGGAAGCGCTAACAGGAGCATCCCCAGGTCGGGCTGGTCCTAGGCGGGAGGTCAGCTGGCTTTATACCTGGATGCCGCTGGGTGTCACACTGTTCACAGATGTGAACTCACTGACAATGAAGGCCAGCAGGTATGTGGACATCTTGGGTGTGGTTTCGAACTCGGTGATGCTCCAGTCAGGATCTTCAGGAAATGGGGTAGAGGGGCCTGGAGGTGGAAGACACAGGGATGTGAGGATGCAACTTCTGCCCTGAGGTTAGTCCCAGTGCCTGGGTTCCTGCCCCCGACCCCCGCCAGGCTATGTGGCCTCAGCATAGAACCCACTCACCTTTGGGCTGCATATTGGACAGAGCCACGAGGTTTTTGGGATGGACGAGCGTGATGTTAAACGTGGCCTTCATGGCTGGTTCATCAAAGCAGGGGAAGGATTTCCGGGCATCGGGGGCTTGCATCTGTGTGGTGGCCAGCACTCTATCCAGACAGCAGGATGTTAGAGGGTGTGCCTGCAGCACCCCTGAGTCCCATGGGTGTGGATGCATGGGGCCTTAGGGTTCACTGGGCTTACAACAAAATCTCTGCCCTCCCCCTTATCCCTAGCAGCCTTTAGACCCCTGGCAGGCCACCTGACAGTGGAAGATAAGGAATTCTTCAATCTCAGAACCAAAGTCCTAGCAGGATCCAGCCTATGTTAGCTGAGGAAGACATTTCTCTCCTCTGAACCTCAGTTTTCCCATCTGACAAAGGGCAATTTCTGCCTCTCAGCCCTGATTTCCTGATAACAGGAGAGCGAAGCCCCCCTGGAAGAGGGATTTCTGTCACAGAAGCTGTTCCACCAGACACAACTGATAGAGTAGTGGGCTGGCCAGGGTCTGGAAAATGCAAAGATCCAACCCTCAGTTAGCCCCCAGGATCCAGCTCAGCACTTAAGATCTGTGCCACCAGGCAGATCCAGCTCTTACTTACTTTTTGACACCCCCCTCCATGTACTCGCTCCGGTAGAAGCCTGCCAGGTCGTCAGCCAGCTCCCCTACAAACTGGCTCTGCAGCTCATACTGCCCATTGACCTCCAGGTGGCTATTCAGGTGCACCACCATGTATTCAGTGTGCAGGACCCACTCGACTCTTTTGATTGTAGGGGCCTGGGAACCTCCCACCCTCCGCAGGACCAAGTCAGCTGTGTAGTTTAGCTTCTTGCTGTGGATGATGATGACATCGGTGGTGTTCTTGCAGGTGAAGCGCACAGTGCTGCTGCCGGTGAAGATGTACAGGCCCTCACTGTTGGGGGTGAGGAAGGGCCTCAGCTTCAGGTCATAGGATTCGGGTATCAGCGTCAGGGGCAAGCGGTAGTTGTTCCATGGTAGGTTCGGGTCCAAGGTGGTGGTCGTGACGGGGGCTGAGGTGGAACTGACAGGCCCCAATGTGGATTGCTCCAAGCGAGAGTTCTCTGCATTTTTTTGCTTCTCTTGAGAGTACACCACGGACAGGGCACTGATGGTGCACACAGCTGCCACTCCCAGCACGATGGCCAGAATGCCCAGGGATTTGGAGATGTAAAAGCCCTTAGCCATGGTGAGGGCAGGTAGGGAGCTGGGGCAGCTCAGGAGCGGCAGAGAATGGAGCAGCCTCGGGCCAAGTTTATATCCCTTAGTGGGAGGAGCCTACAGCCAGCAGACTGGGCAAAAATTAACCAGGGCTGAGATGACGGAAGGTCACTGGACTGGGTTGGGGCAGGTTGTGCCGATGGCTCCGGAGATGGGATCCAGGAACAGGGCTGCCTGCTGGGAGTGAAAAGTGTCTGGTTACAGGCTGCCTGGAGCGTGTCTGAGGGCTGAAAGGCAGGCTACAGGACTAGACTAGTGGGTATAGAGAACAGCCAGACTGGGCTGCATCAGTCTGCCTGTCAGCAGAAACAACAGCAGGAAGGATTGAGGTTAGACTCCAGACGGACTTCCCAGGAGGAAGAGGTTGGAAATGCACTTGAAAAGTGCATACGCTGCTTCTATCAAGAACACGCTGGGTCATCCCTCTGGTTGGATCCCTGGAAGGATTCCCAGAGCTTCTCTGCAAGCTGGTCCTAGCCTCCCGTGGATCTTTCCAGAGCAGGAGTCCTTCCAGGCTCACCTCACTTTCCCTTTTTGCCACTTTTTTCCCTCTCCAATTATCAGCCTTTTTTTTTTAAGGTAAGAAGGCTGATGGAGGCTTACCCTTCCCTCAGGTGTGACCTTGCGTAGATAACTTTTCCTTTCTGAACTGTTTCCTCATATAAATAATAGTAACTCTCTCCCCAGCTTGTGGCTATATTTAATATGAAAACATTTCAAGTGTTCCTTCTTTTCCTATCCTTGGTAAGAATGATAATAATGACCTTGTTCAGTGTGGCCAACAAAATATGCCTTTTAATGAAAAATAATGGCCACTAAACACCCTTTCAGGAATGCTAGTGACACAATGGTTAAGCACTCAGTTGCGAATTGAAAAATGTGGCTGTTGTTCACGGCTATCAAGTCAGGACTCCCTCACAGCTGACCCTCCAGCGGCTTTTCAGCAGCAGTAAATCATACGGAAGAGATTGCCCATCCTTCTCCCACAACCAAAAGGCAGGCGGCTCAAATCCACCAGATACTCCCCGAGAGAAAGGACCCAGAGATGTGTTCCTATCAAGATTATGGCCTTGAAAACCCCGGTGGGGAAGTTCTACTCTCATCCCACAGGGGTCGCTAACAGAATCGGCTTGCGTACATGGGGATGACCTTTTCAGGATTCATTCTTTTCTCAGGCATAATTCCTCCTTCACCTTCACATCCCACCCAGGTCCCCGTCCTGCTCAAGATCACAGCCATTGTTTATGTGGACCCTGCCGCACCCTCAGGGACCACCTACTCCCACTCTGGTCCCTCAGCCCTGCTGGACATCTTATTCAGATCACTTTATGCGACTTATAGGAAAAACTTTTTGCTCTTGGAAAGGAGTCTTGGTAGTGCAGTGGGTTAGGAGTTTGGGCTGTTAACCAAAAGGTCAACAAACAGTTCAAACCACCACCCACTCCTCAGGAGATGTGGCAGTTGGCTTCCCCAGATTTAAAGCCTGGGAAGCCCTATGGGGCAGCGCCACTCGGGGTCCTTACGAATTGGACTCCACTTGACAGCAGTGGGTGAGTTGCTCTTAGAACCCAGACCAAACCTTCTCGGGACCCAAACCCCAGGTGCCATCAGCCTGCCCACTTCTCAGCCTCAGCCTCGCTATACTTCCCCTCTGTCATCCAGCCCCATGACTCCTTCAACCACAGAGCCTCTACACACGTGCTGTCTCCACACAAGGACCCTCCCATTCCTCTCGTCCTGGATAGTTCTTAACCTCCATTCCATTCAGTTCTTCCTCACAGAAGCTTCCCTGAGTCAGACTCTCTTAATTCCAACCACACTATAAACTATATTATGCTCCCGGATGACTCAGCATAATTGTCCATGTTATCTGTGCAGGGTAACTTGAGTAATGTCTATCTCCTTCCCCAGGCTGCAGGCCCCAGGAGAGCTGAGCCCTGGCTAGTTCTCCTTCCCAGCCCTTGGCATAGAAGGTGCACAGCAGGTATTTGCAGAATGAATGAGTGAATGTAAAACATCAGTTCAGGAATTACATCTTCAGAAATCTTTATCTGCAGCCTTCATGTCTACCCCTGCCCTCCTCTGGCACCTGCCCTGGGTCAACTGTCCACTTCCTCTTTGAAGCCTAGCTCTCTTGTCAGGTTCAAACCCAACCCCAGGGCTCATACGCTTGCTCCATCAGCCTGTCTGCTGCTCCTTGGGGACTTCAATCTTCTGTAACCCCTGCCCTGACTGGGGGAGAACATCAGTGAGCTTGCACACAGGCTTGCCCAATGGACACACAGATCGAAGGAATGCATCGATGAGATTAATTCATTCACACATACATGTAAGACTGAGTGACTGTCACCTATCAGTGGGCCTGAGGGCTGGGCTTCAGGGCAATCAGATCCAGAATCTGTTAAGGCCCTTGTTGGGGACCAATACGGACCTACCACTGCATGACTGGAAGCTGCTCCGCCTCAGGCCCCAGCTGATGGCCAAGGGCACCAGTGAGAAGCCAAGTGTCCAGGGAGGGGTGTGGGCTGAGAGGACATATAGTTCCAGCTCGGGCACAGTGACAGGGCCAGTCGCTCCCTAGGGAGATGTAACATGTATTCCCAATTTCTCTCCGTCAGGCCTGGAATTTGCCAAGCTGTATCCCTGCAGGCTGGCACCCAGGGGCCATACATCCCCCCAGAACCCCTATTCTCTGTGCCCCCAGCTAGGTCTGCAACCCCCTCCCACCTTCACAGCAGAAAGATCCACAGTCTGCTAGGACTAATCCCTTCTCCAAACAAAGCCTGGGGCCCAGCATGGCCCACTGTGGTCTCTTCCTGTTTGCTTTGGATGAGGACCACGAGGCCAGCTGGCTGGAATCTTTAAGCTTTTGGAAGGGCCTTTGGTCTTCAAAGTTGGTGCAGCAAGCAGCACACTGCCTTGAAAGAAGGGGTCCCCGCTCCAGGCACCATGCCAGCCAGGCTGCGGGAGGAGCTGCTTCACAGTCCTGGCTGCAGTCATCTGGAAAAAGGCCCCACCAGCAGCCCTGAGCGGAGCCTAGGCCTGGCTAGCTCCACACCTCACCAGGCAGTGGCCGTGGTGCTGCTCCTCCCCCACTTCCAACCCCCAACAGCAGCAGGCATCTTCTGAACAGTGCTGAAATCCCAACTTGGGGTTGAACCTTAAGACCGTCTGTGAAATTGACCCTTTGACCTCTCCAATTCCTCCTGCCCATTTGTTCATCTCTATGCCTTTGCTCTCACTGCCAGGAATGCCTTTCTCTCCCCTCATTGTTAAACTCTTATTCATCCTTCAAAACCCAGCTCAAATCTTACTGCCTTGTCATTCACAGTAGCCCGTATTCTCTATTTCTCCTGCCCCTAGCTCGTACATCTAACGTAGCATTAATCAAAAGACAATCTATGGGTTCAAAAACCTGCCACGAGACCTGAGCATCTGAGCCAATTCATGGTGATCGTCCAAGTGTCAGGAGGCTCCCTGTGTAAAAGGGTCCATGGCAGTGACCTTTTAGAAGTAGATTCTTCTGAGTCAACTGTTCAGTTACTGAATGCTTCACCATTTGTACCACTTACGGATCTGGAGTGAAGAGTAAAAGAATAGTAACGTCCAGTCTCCTGTGGCCTATGGGTCTGGTGTGATCCAGCCCCTAACGATCCTCTGTCAACCTCTATACTCTGCCCACACTGGAGTCTCTTCTCAGTTCCTTGAACCCAGCACTCCACCTCCTGTCTCTACACACAAACTGCCCCTTGAACTTGGAAAGCTTTCTGCCTGCCCCTACCTACCTCATATTCGTCTTTGAGATTCAACTGTCCTAGAGCCCTCCTAGTATTGCCTCCCACCCAGCTAAGTCCACTTTCTCAGCCTTAGTCATGTGTTTTCCCATCTCTCTTTCCCTCCCTCCCTCTTTTTCTCTCCCCCCCCCACCCCCGACACACATACTCTTTCTCTCTCTAAGTGTGTGTCATGGGCATAGCTTCACGTCCACCATATCCTCCATGCTACACAAAGTATCTAGCAGGCAAGAAACTAGTGGGCTAAGACATCGATAATAAGAGAGACAGCTTTTAGAGATGGAACTCAGCATAATTCAGGTCCTCAGTCTGCTGATTGGGCTCTTGGAATGTGCCAGCAGATTACCCTGGTGCACTGCGTCGTGCCTGTATTATTATTAGTAGTATTCTTTAAATTATTCCATTTTCTTACTCAGTCTTCTCCTGGATGGTCATACTCAGCGTGAGGTGTTTTTCTCCTGCCATATCATAAAATTCACAATTACTGATTTTAAAGTGGATCATTTTGGTAGGCCCTGAATCACCTTGTCGAGCTGCACCTGCTCTGGGAATGATGGCCCCATATTGTACAACTTGGGCTTACAGCCTGTCTTTGAGGGAGACCACTGGGTCGTGGGGGGAGGTACTTGCTTCCCTATTTGAGCTGCAGGGCTGGGTGCCCCATCAGTCTGCTCTAGGGGAGCAGAGAATGGAGGGAAAGATGAGGCTGGCGTTCCAGGTGAAGGCACACAGTGAACTCAAGGTCCCTGGTCTTCTCCCGGCCTTCTGCAGACTGCAGAGGAGCCCAAAAACTCTGCTAACAGCTGCTTGTGTCAGGTTGGGACCAGGCCAGGCCCCAGGGTGCTTCCTCTGGAGCCTTGGGGAGCGATCGTTCTGTGAGAACTTCTGCAAAGTCCCATGGGAAGCCAGCTTCTCGAGGCCTTCCCTGCCCAGTGCTGGGCATTAAGGACGGAAGGGGCAGAGAGGTCCCATGGGGAAGAGCAGCATGCAAGTCACAGAGATGCCACCAAAGCAGTGGATCCTGCCTGGTCCACTTCCCTCTATGTTACCGAGCCTCTTCCTCTCAACTACCTACCTCTATTTTGCAGATGGGGAAACTGAGGCACAGAAGGGTTAAGTGACTTGCTCGACAAAACACAGCTAGTTAGTGGTAAGTGTCTAGGCTTAACCTAACCACATTGT